TCAGTAAGTAAGCTTAGGAAATCATAGAACTCATCTTGTCTGTTTTCCTTTTACACAGGGATCACCGTCATTCATTGCCTGAAAGCCAATATCTTGAAATTCATTGTTTCATATATTTTGTCTGATTTTTCAGTTGTTCTAGCCAGGAGGATAAACCCAGTCCTTGTTATTCCATCTTGGCTGAAAGCAGAAATCTTCACATTATCCTTTGAAGAATGATATAAGTAATACATGTCCATGTACAAGGTCTATGATCCAATTCAAATTAATTTTCAGGTATAGCATTAGCTAAGCAGTCATGGACAATTTTTCTTTTCCCATAATGATATGAGCTGTTCTGTTTCCATTTGTTGGATTTTTCTTTCCCCATTGAAATGCATTGGCACTGTTGAAATCAATTGAATGTATATGAGTGGGTGTATTTTTGAACTCTGCATTTTGTTCCATTAATCTATCTTTGTACACTACTATACTGCCTTGATTATTATAGCTTTATAATAACTCTTGAAACCATGTAGGGTAAGTTATTTAAATACTTGCTCATTTTTCAAGATTGTTTTGGGATTCTAGATATTTGCATTTCCATATAAATTGCAAAATTTTGTCAATTTCCAACAGCTAATCTGTTTGGGTTTAATTGGAATTGCATTTGATCTATAAATTTAATTTTGATAAACATAGATTAATTCAAGGACAGTTGAGATTTTATCAACATTGAGTCTTCCAATCCATGGAACATGATGTATATCTCCATTTATTTGGGTCTTCTTTAATTTCTCTCAGTAATGTTTTGTAGTTTTATTTGCAGATGTCTTGCATAATTTACGTTAAAATTGTTCCTAAATATTTTATTTTTTTTGGTCACAGTATAAATGATTTTTTAAAAAGCTTATATTCTGTCTTGAAGGAATTAAATTGTTTGTTACTAGTATGTAGGAATAGAATTGATTTTTGTATAATGGCCTTCAACTCATGACCTTGATACATTTAATTATTAGTTTTAGTAGTTTGTTTGGAGGTTACTTTGGATTTTCTTTAAGCACAATCATGTTGTCTGTAAATACAGTTTTATTTCTTTTATTGTAATCATTATGTCTTTTATTTCTCTTTCTTGCCTTATTGCACTGGCTAAGACCTCCTGTACAATATTGAATATAAATGGTGAGAGCAAATATCCTTGCCTTGCTCCCAACTTTAAGGAAAAATTATTCATTTTTCACCATTAAATATGATGTTTGCTATAGAATTTTCATAGATGTCCATCATCAGATGAAAAAGTTTCCTTCTTTTCCTAGGTATTGCTTATCTGTTTTCAAAGAATAATGAACTCATTCATGTCACAGATTTGAGTCACTGCAAAGTTTACATTCCAAGCTTAAATTTATTCATTTTTTAGACTTCTTCGCTTTTACTTCACCAGCACCAAAACTTGTCTTTAGTTCCCAGCTATGTTGAATATTTATTAAGGCCACAAAGAGACACGGATGCTGGATTTTTGGTGAGGCTCATGCTGAGTGGTTTGCTCAGGTATGCTAACTTGACAACTTGATCATCCAGATTTTACCAGCAAAATTAGAAATCACCGGACATAATCAATTTTCAGGGTTCTGGAAAATAATAGAAACCTGTGATGTCAAATCTAGAAAGTTTGAAGATCTGTTTTTAAATTAAATGTCTCTTTTCTGATTGTTAGTTCCGTCTTTCCTACCCCTTCCATTCACAACAGTTTTGGGAGATTTTGAGTTTAGAAATTCAATTCTTCTTAAACATTTAAATTTATTGCCAGCTTTTTTTTTTTTTATGTTGGTGTAGTGCTTAATAAGTTTGATCACTGTATGTATATTTTCTCTCTTTATTATTGACGTAATAACATACTGGAAAGTTCACAAATTAGAACTGTAAACTGTCATGATTCCTTGAACACATCCAGAAAGTCAGAACAGTAAACAAAACATTTTTGTTACTTCAGGTTTCTTTGTGTCCCTTTCCAGTCAATCCCAACTGTAACTACTAACAGTACGCTGGAGGTAGCTTGCACCAGCTCTAGTGAGCTGATTGTTAAATTTTCAAAAATTTGGCAAGGCAGTTCTTAAACACAGCCATTATTGACAATTAAGTTATATCAAGTTAATATTTTTGAATATTAAAACATCTTACTTTGGTCAACCAAACTTTCTTTTTTTGCAGAGTGTTTTAAAGTAATGATCTTCAATTTTTTAAGGACAAAATTCTTGAAGGCAAGCTAAATAACCCTACCTTGGAAAATTGCATATGAAAGCAGTGCATGGAAACTGATGGCAAGAGACTGCTTATGTGACACAATTCATCCTCCTAGTCCACTTCAGTTTTACTTTTTATTTATTTTATTTTTTTTTGGTTTATTGTGGTAACTGGTTTATAACATTGTATAAATTTCAGGTGTACATCATTATACTTCTATTTCTGTGTGGATTACATCATGTTCTCATGTTCACCACCCAAATACTAATTACAATCCATTCCACTTTAGTTTTAAAAGCGTGAATCTGCTGCACAGTTCCGTGGGAGCGTAGTCTGGTCACAGACTCCACAACATCTCGCACTGAAAAGAGCTTTAGACAATGGCAGATGAGGGCCTGGGGCTCAGATTTTGCTGGTGAAGCCCAAGTTCCCAAAGGACCGAAGAGACCCCTGTTTTATTTCTTTTGGCCAAAAGCCTGAAAGAATCTGCCCGGGTGAAGCGTCCTGGAAGAAATTAAACAAGCAAGAGCGCAAGAAACAAACAGGGGGCAGTTTGGACATTACTGTTCCTGAGGACGCCACAGCTGCCGAGATTGCCCGCTTCTCCCACTCCGGGAGGCCCCGGCTCGCCCGTCTCCCCCGTGCGCACCTCGCGCCCGCGGCGGCGCCGGCGTCGGCGTGGGCGCCCGTGACGTGTCGGCCGCGGCGTTGCGTCAACGGCCAGACCCGGCGGCTGGCGCCCTGCCGTCGCAGCTGCCGCCCGGGGGGCGCAAATTCCGGCTTCTCCTTGCAGCACAAATGTCAGTTTGTAAGACGGGAGGACTGGAGTCCGGAGCGTTTGCAGGCTTCCGTCTTGAAGGAAGTCTGGGGGGCTCACAATTTCCACCGTTTTCACCATAGAGCAGCCTCGCCAGGGCGAAAGCAGCCAGTAACCTACTGCCAACAGCCTCAGCAGGTATACTAAGTCCTAGGAGGGGAGGAGTGGTGAGGTGTTCCCTCATCTGGTGAGCTGTCATTAGAGTCTCCGGCGAAAGCGTCCTGGCCTTTCTCTTAATCTTCCCGCTGCGTGACTGCCTCAGTGGCCGTTGTGCTGCTTTCGAAGCAGTCCCCCGCTCCCGCCCTCCCCCATTTTGTACACTGTGTCCTTAAAGGGTTTGAAATGAATATCAAGTTAATCCTTGAAAGAAGACCAGAAAACATTTGTCTTCATGGTAGAAAGTGACTGACAAATTTGGGCAAATTTATATAATATCCACCTCCTAGGATTGTTAGGAGGATTAAATGAAGTAAATATGTAAAATCCTTAAATATTTTCTTGTAAATATAGCTGTTCACTGCGTGTAACTTTTATTTTTGTCTTCATGTGAACTTCATGGGTCCCTTTGTTACGTCGTTGTCCGGCGTTTGGTGAGCGTCCCATCCCCTTCTTACCGGTCTCCTGAAGTAGCCCACGTCTCTGCCCTCCTGTCTGTTACCATGGGTGCACCTTCCCTGTGCCTATCTGAAGTGTATTGGCCCATTTGTGCATTAAAACCCGTTTCGTCTTGCTTTCTCAAGGGTGTCATCCCAGCAGTTTTCCTCTCTACCAATCATACGTTTTGCTTTCTATTGGATCACTTCCATCAGCATGTGTATTAGTTTTCTAAGGCTGCCTAAAAAAGTACCACAAACTTGGTGGTTTAAAACAACAGAAATTTATTCTCTCACAGTTCTGGAGTCTAGGAGTCTGAAATGAAGGTTTGGCAGGGCTATGCTCCCCCGAAGGGTCTTGAGAAGACTTCCTTTGCTTCTTCCTAGCTTCTGGTGGATGCTGACAATCCTTAACGTTCTTTGGCATGTGGCTGCATCACTCACTGCGGTCTCTTATTACATGGGCTTCTTCCCTGTATGTCTACCTGCCTGTGTCTTCACATTGCTTTCTTAAAATGACACCACTCATTGGATTTAGGGCCCACTCCAATCCCGTATGACGTCATCTTAACTTGGTTACATCTGCAAAGATGGTATTTTCAAATACTGTCATATTCGTAGGTACCAGGGGTTAGGACTTGAACATGCCTTTTTGGGGGGCAGAGTTCAACCCACAATAATGGGATTAGTCTAAGTGTAGAGAGCTTCACACAACAGAGAACCAATGCTACTCTATCTTAATTTTACCAGTATACCCGACAACTCCCATGGTCAGGCATATACTTTAAAATTCTTTGGGAGGAGGCATTGTCCTGAGACCTAGTCAATCAGCTTTGGAGAAAGAGAGAAATACAAGAATGAAATCGTAAGGCCTGCCCAGTCTATACTTCCTTATCCCAGCATGACTTTGGTGCTGCCTTGATATTATCTTGCTGATACCCTGTGCCTAGGCTAATACTCCTATGGAAATAATGATATATATATAAAGGCCATATATTAGCTCAAAAATGGGGGAAAGGTAAGAATAAAATTTTAAAGTTTTCTAATTATATTCTCTCACTGCTGCCACTGTCTTCTTCCCTCCCTTCAGCCCCCATCCTAAATGCCCATACCTAAATCAGCCTTCAGTTACCTCTAGGTGTTTCTCACAGGTTTTTTTGTGTGTTTTTAAAAAAATTTACTGTTATTGTTTGTTGTTAGGAATGTTTCCCTCTTCATTTTGTAATTTCTCCAGAGTTGATTTTGGGATTCACCGTCTTCAAGGCAATTGATAATCCTGCCATCATTTTTAATCTGAAATCTTAATATTTTATTCACAGAGAGGAATACAGTTTTTTCATCTATAATTTGGAAGCTAAGTAAATAACAAAATGAAGCCAGTAAAGCGTGTGTTGGCAGCTAATAATAAATTGGCAAGTGTTCCAGAATTAACTTATAAAAAAGGACTACGTAATTCACCATTGTCACCTAAACCCAAGGAAAAACATAGTGCAAAATTAGTACGTGATAAACTTGAACCAATGGTCTTAAGATCTCCACCAACAGGAGAATCCATTGTAAGATATGCTTTGCCCATACCGTCAAGTAAGACAAAGGACTTAATAGGAGAAGAAGAATCAATCAGGAAAATTACCAAACATCTGAAGATGGTAAGACACTTTTTGTTCTATGTGTTGGGGATCCCGATGACCATCCCCATGTTTAGTGCTTTGCTGGAGAACTCACTCGACTCAGCATCAAGTCATATCGATGGCTAAGATTTATTACAGTGAAAGGTACAAAGCAAAGTAAGCAAAAGGAAAAGACACATGGGGTGAAGTCTGGAGGAGACCAGGTCCAAGCTTCCAAGATTCCTCTACCTTTGGAGTGACACAGGACATGTGTGTGACTCCAACAACAAATTTCTCCAACAACAAATTGTGACAACTCATGTGAAATGTGTACCAGAGAAGCTCATTAGAGACTCAGTTCCCAGGGTTTTTTGGGGGGTTGGTTACCTAGGGACTCTCTACCAGCATGTACCAAAATTGCAGACTCCCTGAAGGAAAGCAGGTGTTCAGCATAAATCACATTGTTTGCACAAACAGTTTAGGGACATTGAGCCCCTGTTATCAGTTATTGAATGATGGGAACCCTCCTGAAATCCAAATTCTGAGGTGCCAGTCCACAGCCAACCTTGCAAGCAGATCGTTCTAAGGGTAGGCCTTTCTAAGTCGCATGCCTGCTATGTTAACTCTGCTCTGCACTTTAAAAACTTTAGCTCTTAGTGTTGGGAAAAAACCAAAACAAAACACTCCCTTTCTCTGAGTTTCTTTTTGCACAGTGATCCAGAATTGAATTGTAAATGTACCAAATACCGAGTGAGAATAATGAGAAATAGCGCAAATATAAAAAGAATATAGTTTGTCACCTTCCAAAATACAAAGTTTGGGGGGTTAGCTCAGAGAATTTCCTTTAAAAATTTGTTGCTTTCTGGTCTCCATCACTCTATTTTCCCCACTCTCTTCAGAGAAGAAAGTTGAGTTAGTCAGATTTTGAGTACTACTCTGGTGGTAAGTAGACTTGATGCTTCAACGATTCATAAACAGACCGTCTCCCTTTTAGATACTTGTCAACACAGAAATGGAAGAGTCTTTGGGCCTTTCTCCATTGCTAGGAAGTAGGATCAAAGACTGTTGCTCATCACTTCTTCATGATGATATGAGATGGGGCATGAGATAGAAAATTTAAGTTTATGGCATTGGCAGAAATAATTCTTACTGCTAAAAAGATCCTGACATGAAAGACTAAATGTCTTTTTACATTTAATATAATAATTTTGAACTATGAAAGTACTTAATTTGCTTTGATTTTCTCATAGGTTGTTTCTTCTTTGGAAGAAACCTATGGATTTAGCAATCAAAATGGAGAAAAACCAGTTGTGAAGCCTGAACATGAAGAATTAACTTTATCTGTAAGTGTATGTAACCTTAATGTAGCGACATTAACATTGAAAAGGTTAAGGCTTTCTTTTGGAGTCCATATATGTTCTCAGAATGAATTCCCCATCTATGAAAATGAACCTGTTAGGAAACTTGAAAGTAGTGTACTGGTTTTTCCATCCTCTGCTAACATTTATCTTGTCATGTTTAATGAAGACATGTCTATACCTTGAGCCTACTTTTAATGCTAATGCCTCTCCGGTTTAATTTTTTAAGCATGTGGTTGGCTGTTGGTTTGAGATGTATATTCTTTATCACGTTAAGAAAGTATTCTTCTATTTCTAGTTTGCTAAATAAAAAACCAAAACAATAAAGAGGTTATTGAGTTTGAACAAATGTCCTTATATATATTAAAGTAATATAATTATTAACTTGGTTATGTGGTTTTTCTCTTTCAATATATTGATGAGATGAATTATTTTACATATTTCATAATATTCAACTGTAATTTAATACACTTTACTTATAGAGTATTATTCTTCTGTTTTATAATTAGTTTTGTTAGTTAGGGATCGAGTTTGGCTCCATGTAATAGAACACCAATGTTGAGTCATTCAATTGATGAACATTGTATGTGTCTCCATTTATTGAGGTCTTGTTTGATTTCTTTCATCAACATTTTGTAATTTTAATCATACAGATCCTATGCATGATTTGTTATATTTTTACATTGATATTTCATGATTTTTGGAATGATTTTTAATGGCATTATGTTTTTAATTTCAGTTTCCACATGTTTGTTACTAGTATAGAGAAATATGATTGATTTTTTTGTATGTTGATCTTATATCTTGCAACCTTGCTCAATGTACTTTTTTTGTCACTTTCCCAGTTTTTTTTTCGTTGTTGATTTCCAGTTTCATAGCATTATGGTCTGAAAAGATGCTTGTTATGATTTCACTCTTCTTAAATTTATTGAGGCTTGCTTTGTTTCCCAACATATGGTCTATC